CCCTTCCTACATTAAGGTCTTCTTTAGCTCCCCTCAGCAGAGTTTTATAATTTTCAGTATAGCACACTACTAGATCTGTCAGTTTATTCCTAGGTATTTGATTTTCAATGCCCCTGTAAATGGCAATTTTTAGATTTAACTTCCTAGTTGTTGATTATTAGTTTATGGAAATCAAATTGTTTTTGTGTATTGACTTTATGTTCTGTGACCTTACTAAATTCATTTATTCTAATAGTTTATATGTACAGTCTTCTGTTTTCAATTGCTAAGATACTGGGGGGGGTTTTATTTTTATATTTTAACTTTTTATTTTGAAGCAATCTCAAATTACAGAAAAGATGCAAAAATAGTACAAAGAATTTTTTTCCCTGGGTTATGGGAGAGTGAGTTACCAAGACGAAGCGCTGTGCCTGGTGCCCTCATACTCCATGTGTACTTCCTGCAAACAAGCGGCTTCTTCATCAGTATAATTCAGAACATTACCGCAGGCCTCTTCCTGCCATCTGCTCCTCCTGGGCCCCATGCAGGTTCCCCTGTTGGTCCCCATAGTGTCCTTCATGCAGAGGACCTGGCCATGGTCACCTCTCTCTGGTCCCCGGCCTGTGTGTTCCACAACCTTGATGCTCGAGACGGTCATAGAGATTGACTGCCAGCTCCTCCTGACCGCACAGGCCATGCATGTTCGGCTGGGTGCTGTGGGCAGAATGTTTGCAACCCCCAGAATTCCATGCACACATGGCCCCCCAGAGGCAGTGCCAGTGCGCCCCTCAGCCCCACGTGGGAAAGCCTGTTTCCCGCGCTCCCTGGCACAGTGAGCTTTCAGGCTGCTTCTGCTTGCCTAATGGACAAAAAATGGAATCCCAGTTCAATTTCGACTTGCAGATCTCTGATTGCGAGTGCAGTGAGCTGCTTTCTGTGTGTTTGAGCATCATTTGGGTTTCTGGTTTTGTAAACACCTATCCTTTGCCTCTTCCTCTATTCAGTTTATAATCTCTTACTGATTTTTACAGTTGGGTATGTTTTAAAGAAACCAGCATTTTGTGGAATGAGCCAAAAATGTCTTCTCCATTTCTGTTGAAGACGTCTTGACGTTACAGTGTTTCTGTGCAGACGTCTTGTATTTTTGTTGCCCAGTCTCTCAAGCCTCCCATTACAGCTTCACGCTGGAGTGTCCCGTATAAACGGTCATGTCAGTGCAGTACACTGGTAGATGTTTGTGCTTAGATACTGTACTCATCTTGAAATGATTATGTGAAGTAAGGGTACAGCCTTATTTTTTCTCAGTGGATATCCAGTAGTATTTATTGAATAATCTGTTTTCCTCCTACTTGATTTGAAATGTCACTTTTATTAGACACTCGACATTGTGCATACCGGACACATATCTTCGCCCCGTCTGCCCCTCTGGCTTGTGTGCGTCGGCACCAGTCCTGCCACTGTGGTTTTTTCGACCATTAGAGCATCAGACAGGCCCAGGCCTCCCTGTATTTCCTTTTCAGAATGTCCGTGGCCACTCTTGCATTTAAAGAATACATCGAGCGTACAGTCACCTATCAGGCTCCTCCAAGTATCCCCCTGACACTTCTCTTAGGACGGCGTGGGATCCTTGGACTAATGTAAAGGAGGGTGGCCCTCTGGGAGTGCTCCCCACCTCCAAACTACTCCTCTCAGTTCCCCTTTCTTTCTCGTAATACAGATTTTAGATTTCTGCAGTGAAGCTTTGGTTTTATCAGTGCATTCCAAGATATTTCAGGTTTTCGTTGCTGTTACGCTTGTGATGGTTTCTTCCTTTCTGTCCCGAAAGTGGTGATGGATCATACCTGTGAAGGCCGCTGCTGTCTGTCTAGTGACCGTCCTCTGCCCCAGCTGATGTCCACCTTCTTGCAGTCGTTTTCCACCTGCTGCTCTTGGATCTTCAGAGCAAACTCTCGCGTGTGCAGGTGGTGAGCTGCCTTCTTTCCCAGTGTGCCCCTTCCTTTCCGTCAGGCAGCCCGGCTGGCCGGGCACACCCTTGGCCGTGCCCTGTGTTGTCTTGGATGAGGAGCCACTTCCTACTTCCTTAGGAATTTATACCAGGAGTGGACATTGAGTTTTATCAGATGCCTTATCAAAGATTATGGGAATAATTCTAAGATTTTTTCCTACAAGTCTACTGATGTGAGGTAGTAATAAACATCCTAATAGCATATTGAATCATCCTTTTTTGGGTCACTTTACTCAGCTTTGGTATATGACTCTCTTGTCTGCTAGATTGTGTTCGCTGATATTGTACTTCAGATTATTTTCGTTGCAATTTTCTATAGGGTATGTGTGTGGATTTACTTGGAGTGTGGGAGTTCTTTTCCATAAAGCAGATTCAGAAGCCTCCCCACCCACCTCCCCCACTGTGCTTTGAAAATACCTGTTCCCGCGTGGTTGTGAAGCCGCCTGATTCTGATAGTGTCTGCAAGTGTTGAGTGTGGAGTTCAGGTGACACAGAGATCACAAAGTTCCTTTTGTTACCTGAACACAGGCTAATGAATTTGGGAAGACTTTTTTAGTTCAGCAAACTTTACTGCAATTCATGAGGTCAAACACAGATACATAGACGTACGTATATTTGTATCCATCCTGTGTGCCCACACGTGTGTCTGTAAATAAAAATGCATCATAATTAAATGTATTTTTGTCCCAGATTTAGGAACCCTGTTCTGGGCATTGGATGTTGCATGACAGCAGCACACCAGAAAGGTGCTTGTTTGTGTCTGCACGCCTGCCACAGGCTGGCGTCCCCTCGTGCGTTTGGGCAGGCTGTCAGGAACAGGCCCCAGCTGCACTGACAGTGGGTAGGGGACTGGCCAGTGGGGGGGCCATTCACCCTGCCCTGGGACCAGCACCTGGGGCGGCCAGGCAGTTGAAAGAAAAGAGGGGCCAGGTATAGCACAGCAGTGCAGATGGCCTGGGTGTGACTGTTGGTGGTGCAGCCGCAGTGTCTGGCCTGGAGATTTCCAGGTGCCCTCAAGTCCCACAACCATGGGAGAAGCTCACCCAGTGTCTGAGTGTGTGGACAGTGCCGCCGTGCAGACTGCAGCTTTCAGACTGCCTGGTGCAGGGAGGCGGACTGACCGAAACAGGCTCTTCGAGGGTAGGGGGCGTAGCAGGTGTCAGAACATACATGGCAGCCCCCAGGCAGAGAGGGAGGCATAGCCGGGGAGGGACGGGGAAGCCAGGCCACTGGGGACCTGGGCGCCCATCGATGCTGTGGTGGCCCCGCAGCCAGGCCTGACCCCCCTGGGGTGAAGGTGGACATAGGACATGGGGCCCTGGAAGATCCCTCCAGGTGGTCGCAGAGCCCAGGGTTGTCCAGGGCTAGGGGTTGGTGTCCTGGACCTGCTTCTGTTGGGCGCAGGTAGGTGGCATGAGCAGGGTCATCACGCTGCTCAGAGGCACAGCCTCTCCTTCATGACTGAACTGTTGTCCGGGACTTTCTCCCTGACAGCACAGGTTTCTGCTTTCTTACTTTTTTTTTTATTTTTTTTATTTTTTATTAAGGTACTATTGATATACACTCTCATGAAGGTTTCACATGAAAAAACAATGTGGTTACTACATTTACCCATATTATCAAGTCCCCACTCAAACCCCAGTGCAGTCGCTGTCCATCAGTGCAGCAAGTTGCCAGAGATCCACTATGTCCCTTCTCTGTGCTACTCTGTTCTCCCCGTGATCCCCCACACCACGTGTACTAAATAAACACAATACCCCTCAGTCCCCTTCTCCCTCCCTCCCACCCGTTCTCCCCCACCCCTCCCCTTTGGTCACCACTAGTTCATTCTTGGAGTCTCTGAGTCTGCTGCCATTTTGTTCCTTCAGTTTTGCTTCATTGTCATACTCCACAAATGAGGGAAATCATTTGGCATTTGTCTTTTTCCCCCTGGCTTATTTCACTGAGCATAATGTCCTCCAGCTCCATCCATGTTGTTGCAAGTGGTAGGATTTGTTTCTTTCTTACGGCTGAATAGTATTCCATTGTGTATATGTACCACATCTTCTTTATCCATTCATCTACTGACGGACACGGTTCTGCTTTCTTTTTAAAGGCTGCATGGTTCTCGGTGATGGAGGTACCATTGTTTATTTTACCAGCTTCCCCTTGCATGTCTGTGTGAGCCCTTCTGGAGAAGAAAGTTCTAGGAGTGGAACTGCTGGGGCAAGTCTGAAAACTGTGCACTGTATTTCAAAAGCTCTCCCGCAGCCCCAGTGCCACTGCATCCCTGTCCTCCCCATCGCTCTGCCTTCTGGGAGGTGGCATTGCTGTTTCTGTTAATTGTGTTACTACAGGGCTTGAGTGCCTTTTTTATAGCTGCAGCCGTTTGTATTTCTTCGCCCAGTCCGTAAGAGCGTACAGGAGAAGACATAGCTTTCTCCGTGTGACTCTAGGGTGTCACTTTGTCCCTGTCTTTATGTCCAGACAGACATTGTGATTTAGCCAGACCCACGTCTGTCCTCCGCGCCATGCCTGGTGGACTTCACTCGCCCGGGTGTAAATCCCACTTGTGCTGCGCCTCCTGCACTGGGACGTTTTCTGTGATTAGTGTGCACCGGGGGCCTCACTCTGAGGCCAGTTGCCACCTCATTTTCAAGCCACCCCTCTGCTCTTGTCACCAGTGTGACTGCTCCTGAACAGTAAGTCACTCTACATGGATCATGAGACTCACCTTTCAGTAAATTTGAGCAAATATTTCCCGAGGTCGAAAATGGATCCCACAGCCTGAAGTTACAGAGAAATGGGGCCAAGGGCGCTCTGAGAACCTAAGACTGGAGCCGGTGCTGCCAGCTTCCGAGCATGAAGAGCCTCAGCCTCATTTCTTTTCTCTGACCTTTTGTAAACCTCACTAGGAGGCAAAGGGAAGCAGGAAATCAAATGAAGTTTACATGCGGGAAGCAGCGTCCTGTCTGGTTCATAGATCTTTGCTGATGGTCATTAATCCTCATGCTTTTTCTCTGCCACCTCGTCACAGCCCAAGCGCAACGGCCAGGTTTTGCTGACTCAGGTGTGGAAGCATTTAAATCTCATAGAATGTGACTACTTCGGGCTGGAGTTCCAAACAATCCAGTCCTACTGGGTACGTGCTTTTGACTTGTTCTTGGAAATTAACTCTGGGTGGATTGTGGGGCACTGAGAACACACGTGTCACAGAGCACCTTCGAGGACCCCCTGTAAGGATAGAAGCAAGGTATTTTATGACCGCACATGATCGATCATTCTCAAAGCTGTACTGTTGGGATATTTTATTCATAGCCGTGGGGAATATGTCTGCCTTTTATCTAAGCCCAAATGCACATCCTCCCTAAGCTGGTTCTATCTGCCAACACGTGTGCCAAGGAAATTCTTGTTTCAGGTTATAAAAGTGATCTCTGGTATATCCTGTGTGGCAATCATTGGGCAAACCATTTTCTAAACTGGTCATGCCTCGTTTTACTTAGTAGGTGAGCCTTAGAAAATGGAGAGCTCTGATATTTATAGGTAGAACTATTTTAAAGAAACCAAAATCCACCCATTAGTTCTAAGGCAAGTCTGCACTGCCGAGCGCTGGGCACGCTCTGGGTGCCAGAGCCTCCTCGCCAGCCGGGCTACTGATACAGCGCCCACCCAGGTGACCCTGGTACAGGGCACCCCCCACCCGCCCCCGGTGCTCCCCATGCCCACCCTGTACGCGGCTCTGCAGAGCTGCGTGTGTTCCCTGGAGCGCTAGCCTTTCACGCCAGGCCCCTGAGTTCATCGGGGTCCTGGTCAAAAGCAAAAGGGCCGATGGTCCGGCCTTGAAACGGCTCTTCATTATTAGCACTTTTGTATTTCATAACATGCTTATTAAATAGATAAGTTATTTAACGAATTTTATCTCTTTTCTTAAATCTCTTTAGATTTGGCTTGAACCTATGAAACCCATCATTAGGCAAGTACGAAGTAAGTCCATTTTTAACTTCAAATTCAGTTCATTTGAGATGCTTTTATACTTGACTCTTCAAGGCATGTCCAGCTGTTCATCACCGCCACTCTGGGGAGTGAAGTGATACCCAGCAGCATGTGCACCTGGAAGCTGTCTTGCTGTCTGGTGCTGAACCATGGAGGATGGGGATGAGGCAGAGAGGTCCACCCATTTGGTCTCCATTAACTCACCTCACATTTGGAAGTAACCGGATAGGCTATTGGCACCACTTTAATTTTTGGCCAATATGCAGAAATAAGTTTGCATTTTCCCTCCAAGTTATAGAAAGACATTGAGGTTATTACTTTAATTAACACTTTTAATAAAAGTTAATACTTTTATTAATATTGTTCTGTAATTATAAACGTGATTATTTTTGTTAGTCTAAATTCTGTTAAAATTTTTAAAAATTAAGGCCAATTGTAATGCTTCTTAGTTCTTTGTGTGTTTTGAGAAACTAATAGTCTGAATCCACCAGTAACATTTTTGGTCCTCAACTGAGCAGAAAAGGGCACATGGAAGGACTTAGTGGCCCACTGGCAGGCAAAGGCCGATCATCACAAGCTGGCAGAACAGGCCTCCTCGGGGGCGAACAATAAGCCTGTGTCCTTGCAAAGTGCCAGCACGCGGGGGGGGGCACTCAGGGGGACTCACTTCTTGCGCTTTTCCTTAGTGATGAGGTTGTTCTGATTCGGCATGTGAGTGATGACCATGTTTCTTTCACTGAAGTAAATGAGGATTTCAAAAACTATGTTTTTATTGTTACTACTGCTAGTGTAAACGCCTAAAGTTTTCTTTATCACTTTCTTAATCCTAATATATAAGCAATATATTTTAAATTTTTATGTGCAATTTCCTGCTTGTCTTTAGGAATCTCTTGAGTAATCTTTGCTTAATGCAAAAATATTTAAGTTTTTCTTTGATACGTGTGACTGGCACTTGGGGTGTGTAATTTCATACATAGGAAATCTCTTAATATCTTCTGTGAAGAGATTTACTTTAACAGTCCATTTGAAAGGACTACCTCAATTACATCATAGTATGTGCCTATGCAGAGATTAACGTTCTTTGTGAGGTCAAAATTTTTCTTGTTGTAGGGCCCAAGAATGCAGTGCTTCGTCTAGCAGTGAAGTTCTTCCCTCCTGACCCAGGCCAGTTGCAGGAGGAATATACCAGGTACAAGCCTGCACTGGACATGGCTGCTGTCAGCGGGGTCAGCCCGCGCTTCTCCCAGCACCTGGCTCACTAGGTGCTCAGGCATATTTACTCGTGGAAATGATGACCCTGTGTGCGTTCAAAATGTAGTAGTTAAAAGAAGCATTTTGGCAGTTATTTCTTGTACAAACACAATGCAAATAGGACTTGGAAGAAAGATTTACGGTACAAATTTGAGAATAAAATGGGATGTTGGGGTTCTATTGAACTAATATTCTCCAAATAAGCATAGGCTTACACGTGAGCATAAAGTTTTTAGGAAGTTTGCCCATAGATTTACTTCTTCACCGACAAAACATGCCCACCTGGGAGAGGCACCGAATGCGAGTGCGTGGGGTCCCGCCCAGCTGGACATCCCACGCTGCTCTTGAGTTCAGGATCTAGTCTTTCCAGAAATGATGGCAAGAAAGTGTTTGCAGTCGCTCCATCTGGGTGACAGGATCGTGGAGGACTTCCCTTGTGTTTCATGTGCCACTCAAGAATGAAACAGCAAAACCCAAAAGCCAACTCAAAGCCGTAGGTCAAAGATGACATGAAGAGAACCGTGAGGTATGTAGTAACAGTAACTGGGCAGCTTCCTGACTGAGTGGATCCCACGCTGAGCAGACACAGCTCACGAATCTGTAGGTTTGTGCAGATCATTTTAATACAACCAGTCAGGGACTGTCAGGTACAGGGAAACGGAGCAATGCCATTTTCAGTGTGGCCCCTTGTTTTTACGGGTGCAGAAATGGAACTCCATGGACCTCAGAAACTTTTTATGAGTGAACACAGAGCTTAACAGTGTTACATACCTGACATCTGCCAAGAAAGTCCCTTTTGAGGGATAACTTTTAAACACACCTGGAAAATGATGAGCGGCAGGAAGTGCCACCTAATTCAGGGTCCCAGGTCCCTCTGTGGTCAAAGAAGAAAACGTTAAAATAAAGCTTTGTAAAGTGAAAAGGAAGCATTGCCCCCCATCTCCCCAGAAGTATCGACACTTCAGCAAGTGTCTTCCAGATGAATTCCCAGCAATATACAAACAGACCTGATTAAAGAAATTATTATTTTACCAAGTATCAAACTGTACATACAGAACTGCAGGTTGATTTTTTTTGGCCCACATGTCCATAGCGTATCATGGACGTCTTTCTGTCAGCACATGTGACTGCCTTAATCTACTCAGCCATTATCATGTTAGTGCATGTTTAGGTTATTTCCAATTTTTTTCTCTTATAATCCTGCAAGTAAACATCCTTGTCTACGTATCTTTGGGAACTCTGGAAATATTTCTGTAGGAAAGGTTCATAGAAATGAAATTGCTGAGTTAAAGGGCACACATGTTTAAATTGTAAGGGAATACAGTAAATTTTAACAGCTCACACTGGAGTATGAATTCCAACAAGGGCAGAGAGAGGCTGTCATGTTCACCATCCTATTTCCAGCTCCTGGAGCAGCACCGAGAACATAATACATGCTCGGTAATTATTCGTGGATGAAGTAAATGAACATACAAATATTTCTACATTACCTTCTAGTTAATTTTCACGAGTGGTATTCAAGAATGCCTGTTTCTCAGATTCTAGCCAAGACCAAATATTATCACTGTTTAAAAATTTCACAGCCACATTCTAAGCTGTGTCTTAATTAGGTATTTCTGCTCTTTCTTACGAAAACATCAGTGCAGTTTTGTGTGTGCAGCTCACAGGCGCGTGGATCTGTGAGCCTCTCTTGCAGATGCGGCCCAGCTCTGGCAGCTCTGTGGGCTGGGTGTGCATTTGCCATTCGTGCCAGGCACTGCGTGTGACAACTTGTAACCTGGCCTTTGCTGGCTGATGACGGTCCCTGCTGCTTCCTGGGGTCAAGGCATGGGGAGTGTGTTTTAGGGCCTGGAGCTGACCGCTGACGTCCTTGACTCCCTTCTAGATACCTGTTTGTCCTGCAACTGAAGAGAGACCTTCTGGAGGAGCACCTGCGCTGTGCAGATGCCACAGCGGCCCTCCTCACATCCCACCTCCTGCAGGGTGGGTAACCCCTGCAGCTGCCGCCGCACTCACGCCTGCAGGACCGGTGCCAGGTTGGGGGCATGACCGAGGGGCAGGGCTGACAGCCCGCAGCTGTCCTTGGGAAGCTGAACTGGAACTCTTGAGGCAGACGGTCTTCACCTGCGAAGACAGAGGCTCAAGGCCAAAGCTGTGGCCACGTGCGTTTCTTTGGACTGTCTCACATCTGCCATCACATGTTTTACCCACAGACCTCTTCAGTCAAGGAGCCAGATGGTAACCCCCAGAAAGAGGCCTCCTTGGGGTGAATGTCACAGCCCCTCTGTGACTAGACATTAAGCCTGGAAGGAAAAAACAAACATTTCCTCATTATCTCACACAGAGCAAGAGGTGGTTCAGCAATGTATGGGGAATTATAGTTACTTCAGAAATAAACTAGAAAAAGTGTAAGAACAGGCTCTGAAGAGCAGGTGTGCTTTGCGGAGCTCACAGCCCCTAGCTGGCAGGAGAGGGAGCAGGAAATGCCCACATTGCTGCTGGGCCAGAAGCCGAGTCCAGACCACAGTCCTCCCTGACACAAAACTAAATGTTTCTGAAATTTGGACTCAGGAAGTATGATGTGAGAAAATTTAGGAACTGATGAGTAATGGACTGACTGCAGTTTACCTGGCCCTCCCCTGACACACCTTCTTCAACCAGTAAACCTCACTGTGGGTCCGCCATGCTGCGCCCTGGAGCCTGCTGACCTTAAGTAGGATGTTTTCAGAGCGATGGCTATTTTTTATTTGGCCTGACATCTTCTCAGACAGACAGATGGCTTTCAGCACAAACTGTCATATGGCCGTGCCATTTGCTGGAGGGCTCTGTGAGCAGTTCGTTGTTACAGTAACTTACCCAACTGTGATTTTCACCTGGGAGGTTTGCTGTGTGGATAGAAGGAAGCTAGAGAGACGTGGCAGCCAGCTGCAGTGGGTGACCCTGAGCGGTCTGTGCTGTGAGGTCCGACCAGGCGGGTGGTGAAGGTGATGGTCTCCAGGGCTGGAATGTAGCAGCCACCGCGGCCCTGCCTTGCCCACGGAGGTTGTACTGTGCTTGTGGATAAGAATGTCCTGGCTTGTGAACACACACTGAAGTGTGATACTAAGTATGAACATTTTCTTTGAATTTGAGATGGTCTCAAAACAGAAGAAGTATACTGCATAAAATGATTGGGCTTTAACTACTTTTTAAAACATTTGTGCCTTAAAATAGCATGTAATTAGAAAAAGACTTTCCTCAAGAATTCAAGAGGCCCTGAAGGAAGAAAGAATTAAATCGTTTCACCTTGAAACTAATAAAGTAAAATACATTATCCTGGTCACAATAGTCATGAGACTATTACAGATAAACTGTGGTTTAAAACACTCCCACTTGCATGAAACTGGCAGCTCAGGGCTTTGCCTCTCTGGCCTCACTTGGCAGTCAGTGTCTTTGTTCTTCAAAACTCAGAAAAAAATCTCTTCACCTGCCTTTGTGTTTGCCTTTGACAGCATAAGGCACTCGGAGAATAAAATACAAAGTTTTGTTTATTTGAGGGATATGTTCTTGTAGTGCAGGTTTAGAGTACTCAATACTTTTAATTTATGTATTTTTCTTCATTTGAAAGTTAAAATTACCAACTGCTGCTCTCCTTTCTTAGCGGAAATAGGAGACTTTGATGAAAGTCTGGATCGGGAGCACCTCCGAGCGCACGTGTACTGGCCCCGACAGGAGCGCGCACTCGGCAAGATCCTGGAGTTCCACCGGAGGCACGCGTGAGTCAGCCAGCGGCGCTGCCCACCTGGCGCTGGCGCTGGCACTAGTGCTGTGTGAGGACTGGACAGTGGGTGTGGCCAGAGGAGCCGCGCCTTGGCTTCTGCGGGCTCCCCCGCCCAGTGCTGGGCACTCCTGGGCGCAGTTGTACCGCCACACGGTAGGCCACGCCCGGAAAGGCCAGGAAAGCCTGTAGGGCCCTGGGAGGACACCAGCTGCAGGCCACGGGGCGGCTGCTGTGTTGGGGCCCACAGGTACAGGCGTGCGTGTGGGAAGTGCTGGCCCCCCATGGGGTAGGCATGGGGGAGCAGAGCGGGGCAGCCAGCTGGCATTCCTGCTGCAGCCCTGTGCTTTGACTGATTGTTTTGGCTTCTCCAAGACTAGACATTGGGGTGTTTTTCTGGGTGAAAAGAGGGGCACCGTGAGGAAAGGGGCTGGAGGAGGGGGCTCAGGCGGGATTCGGGGAAGAACCGGGGCTGAGTGCGGCGAGGTGACTGCGACCTTGATTTTGCACAGGGGAGGGGGGTGACCTGGCCTTGCCCTGGCTAGTAGCCAGGGACACACCTATCTGCTCTCCACCAGCAGCACCAGGTGGTGGGGCTCCGCGGCCATCCCTCACCTGGCCTGGGGCTTAGTGCCTTATGCCAGCACTGGGGGGCTGTAGGGACAGCACAGACCAAGGTCATAGTCCCTGAGGACTTCCCATCGCCTGCAAGACTGCATGTGTGCTTGGTGGGGGCCTTATGTGCGCCCGGCTCTGGAACACAGAGAATACGTACATGTGGTGCGGGAGCCAGAATGACGAAGAGCCTGCTTCATGTGGGAGGAGCCTCTCAGGCAGGCTGGCTGAGGACTCAGCTCCAGGGGGCTAGGGGCACCAGCCCAGGGAGGGGCCAGCGTGATGGGGCAACTCTGGTGACTGGGGGTAGGAGGAGGGGTAAAGGTGCCACTGTCAACCACCTTCATGGTGGGCCAGGCTTGTGGAGGCTACACATGTTCTGTCGTGATCCCCTGTGTATGGTGAAGCTGATGGAGGCACAGGCCCACCTGGGTGTGGCAGCATGGTTCCGAGTGCCTCCTGGTGTCAGAGGTCAGCACGCTTGGCTGCCCTGGGGCAGCTGCAGTCTCCTCCCGGATCCCGGCCCGCTGGGGCTCCGGCTCCTTGCCTGGATGCCCTTGGCTGGTCCCTTTGGGGTACTTGCTCACTCTGGCTGGTAGTGGGGTCTGGGCAGCAGCACCAAGGGCCACATCCAGACTCTGATGACCAGCCAAACACAGGGCCTCTCCCAGTGTGACCTGAGTCATGTACCTGTCCTGTTCAGGCTTGGTTCCTGGAGTTGGGGACAGGGTCCCTCCCTCCGGAGACACAGAGCTGGGGCCAGACACCTGGAGGACACGGCATGCTGGACACTGCTACGCTGTGGAGTGTCCCACATGGACAGCACCCCGTGTACAGTGGGTCCGGGACGCAGGTGGAGCATCGTCAGCACACAGGCTGAGTCCAGCCCTGCAGTGGATGAGGTCAGCTAGGGAGAGAGTAGAGGCCCACAGGGAGGCAGAGCCCAGCACAAACCCCTGGGGACTGGCCTTGGGAGGCTGAGTGAGGAAGGGGCACCCACGGGGGCTGTGAACAGCTAGAGGAAAGAAGAGACCCAGGGGCCCGGGGCCATGGACACCGAGGGAGAGGTTTCTGGGAAGGACTGTAGCCCCACACGGAGGCTCGTGTCCAGGCCAAGGGATAGGAAAGAAAGCATGCCTGGGGGCGGCTCCACAAGGTTCAGGGTGGTTGCCAGACTCAAGGGCGCTGAAGTTGGGTGAGGGAGTGGGTTCAGGTCCACCAGCAAGGACTTGGGGATGACTGTCCGTCTAGAGAGCAGAGAGGCAGTCCAGAAAGGGCTAAGTGTCTGCTCGTGTGCATGTGTGTCAGCACATGTGCCTGTGTGTGTTTTTGCATGCACATGTGTGTTCATATGTGTGTTGTCACAGGAGGCTGCTTTAGAACTTCAGAAAGTCAGTAAGAAAGTCGGGTGACCTGCTATATATGCAAATGAAACGACTGTTTCCAAGGGAGGCACAGGGTCCCTGAGCTCAGTTGTCTCTGGGTTCTCACAGTTCTGATATGCTGACTTTGCTTACCACGTTCATCAGAAATTTATTGCACATCTTTTATTTTTTTTAATCATCTTTGTGTAGGATTTCTAAAGTATTTTGCCTTCATTTTAACTAAGATAAATTTCTTACATAGTTTATCATTGTTTTCCCTGCCCACTGGAAACACTCTTGTAAACACTGAATAGGATATTGAAGATGTGTTTCTCTGATTTGTACCATATTTCTTTTGGGTCTTTGAGATTACAGAAAAAGATTTGAAAGCTGATGTCCTAGTCCATCCAGCTGCTGTTAGAGAACACCCCAGGCTGGGGGCTCAGAAACAATAGACACTTGTTTCTCACATTTATTTCCGGACGCTGAAAGTCTGTGATGAGGCGTCAGCAGATTCGGCTCAGGTGGGGGCTGCCTTCTCTCTCTGTCCTCCATGGTGCATGGGGCTCATTTCTAGAGCACTAGCCCCTTCCCTGAGCCCTTCCTGTGAGGGTTCTCAAAGATCCACCTCCACATGCCATCCCTCCGGGAGTCAGGCTTCAGCACATGGATCTCGGAGGGACGCATCCAGCCTGCCGCAGCTGACCAGTCCCTCCAAGATGCGCATCCTTCTCACGTGCAGATGCCATCAGCAGCCCTGGGCATCTTGTGTGGCTCTCCCGGGAATCAGGACAGTGAGGCTCCAGGCGCCTTTGTGCTGAGCAGAGCGCCCTCCAGCTGTGAACGTGAAACCAGACAAGTCAGTGCTTCCAGATGGACCAATTGTAAAGGCGGCCTGGGGCCCAGGGACTCCACAACCTAAGGGGTGGTGACAGTTAGCCCTGGACCTCCAGAACAGTCCTCTGTGGCTCCACCCTCTGCCCGCCGCCCTACCAGGGTAGGTGGCAGCCACCCCCAGAGCTCTGTGCAGTGGCTCCGCCCTGCCACAGCTCTCCCAGGCTGGGGGCAGAGGCAGCCCCTTCAGTCCCCCACTCCCTGGCCTGTGCGGAGGTCGCCAGTCTGAACCTCCCCCAGCCACCCCCTCTGCTCCCTTGGCTGCCTTCTGAGCCCCAGACAGTGCCTGGCAACACCCCTGAAGCCTCACCGTCAGCACTCCACCTGGAATTCTGTTCTGCTAAGGACCCAGTCTCGTTGCTCACAGCCTCTGCTCCACAAAGCGCTGAAACACGAGCACAAGTCAGCCATGGTTTCTGACATTTTATACAAAGGATCATCTTTGCTCTGGTTCCAGTACATGTTTCCCATTCCCGCCTGACACCTCATCAAGATGGCCCTTGCCGTCCGTCTGAGGTGACCCTGGTCCAGGAGGCTCTGGGCTTCTCCAAGGAGGGGAGGCAGCTCGCCACACCCTGCTTCTTTCTGGCCCTGCAAAAAGCACATTCAAAGTGACAGCTGCACCACAGTTCTTCCCCAGCCCCTCTCCACCCCATCCCCAACAGGGTTCCCTGCAGCGCTGGGAACACGCCACCTCCCAGGTCAGGGCAGCTCGGCCACTGTGGGATCACAGCAGTGTTTCTCCTTGTTGATGGTTGACTGGCATGGAAGTCGATAGGTGTTTATCAGATTCAGAGAGTGGAGACCTCGGGGTCACAGGACCCATATAGTCGTGTTATTCTTTGAAGATGCAAAGTTTCAGGCATTCGGAGGGAAGAAAAGGTGGTTAGCAGAGAATCCCACATGTGGGGCCCAGGCCTTGGCTGTGGGTGCCCCCAACCAGGACATCGCCTTTGCCCTGAGGTGCCTCTCTCTGCCTGTCACCCTCCTAAAGGCCGGTCGTGAGTTGGCGTTGGCCCCATCCTGGTGACACACCCATGGACATAGTTGAGTGACGCAGTGCCGTGGGAGAGAGTCATGGGGATAAAATATGTGTTGATGGTACTTTTATTCCATTTCATAATTGCGTTCTACAGAAGTGTACTCGAATGGTTAGAATCCGAGCATCATGAAATAAGTCATTACCAGTATTGAAATGAGTTTGATGGTATACCAGTGTTATCATGGGATTTCCACTGTTTAATATTAGTCTCTTTGTGTAATGTTAGCACATTACCCTTGTCAGTACTGAGAACAAATTGTAAGGCTGAGCCTCTCGAGACGCAAAGACAACATTTTGCCCATTAAGAAACAGATTACAGGCTAGACGCAAGCAGTCGGTTTCTGTAGTCTAGTCTCTGTATTGGGTGTGCGGCATTTGCAAATGGATAAATAAACTTAATGATGAGTGATCCATCCTCTAAAAATCAAAGCCTCCTCTGTTGATTTGTCTTATTCTGTCTTGTTTTCCCGATCATGTCTATAACGTTGGCTCTTGGGGAAACGTTCTTTTCTGTGCAATGACAAGCTGTTTCTGTTGCAGGGGCCAGACACCTGCTGAGTCGGATTTCCAGGTGCTTGAGGTTGCCCGGAAGTTGGAAATGTATGGCATCAGATTCCACACAGCTTCCGATCGGGAAGGGGCCGAGATTCACCTGGCCGTTTCCCACACAGGGGTCCTTGTGTTCCAGGTAGGGAGGCACCAGGCAAGGGCCGGCGGGCTGTGTGGGGCTGTGTGGGTGTGTTGCGTGCTGGTAAGTTCTTGTTCTGACAAATAAGGTCTTGGACTTGGAGGAGGGATTTTGTACGTCTGATCCAAGTTTCACCCAGTAGAGGAATTGTCTCTTGTCCTGGTCCTCACTTTTGGGGCGGCTCTGCCCCCCGGGCACCCTGTCACACCCCCTTGTTGGTCCTGACAGGGAACCGCTGGGGCCCCGCTGAAGCTTGACGGGCATCCCTGAGCTTCCCAGGTGCCCAGCCCCCTCTTCCCCCATCCTTGCCTGTGATGGCCATCAGTGTGGCCCTAGGGGATTCTGTGTGAGTTGAGAGTGGACAGGTCAACTGCCACAGAAATGGCCCCTGAGTCCTGTTTGTGGTCCAGCATGAGTGCTGGGCTGTGTGACATCAAGCCTGAGAGCAGCTGCAGGGGTGCCAGACCCTCACCCCAGCCCGGGCAGCCCCCTTGCCCTGGGTTCACCTGAGCCCAAGTCTGACACAGGCCTCCCGGCCAAGCCATGCTTGCTTTCTTTTTTTCTTTTTTTAGCTTAGTGTCAAATTTTAATTTCCTGTCAGAAAAGTCTAATTTTGAAAATAGAATGTTAATTCTGTTACATTCTCTACCACCTGTGACGAGAACAAGCGAGTGAGCCCCACCCTTGGGTGGGTGGCCCCTGCCTGCTCACTGAGGAGGGAAGGGCAGGTGTCCGTCACAGTCCGTGTCCCCAGGAAAAGATAAATTGTAACCGAAGAAGTGGAAAAGGCTGCAATAAGGGACTTCAGATTCAAGGTGGCAGACGGATTCATTTCTGTTCACTCAAAACCCCACCAGACACAGTATAGGAATTGTTTTTTAAGTCAGTAAGAACAACGAGCAGAAGAAGAAACACCAGAAGACGAGGAATGTCAAAAAAATGTTGGAAGCTGGGAATGGGTGGATGAGCAGGGAGTGACTGCAGGGGGGAAGGCTGGCTCAGCGCAGCCCTGCTCCCAGCCGAGCAGCACCCCCTGTCCTGGAAAAGGCCCAGGTCTCCTCTCCAGGGTGGGCTCAGAGGTATGGATGATGGCCTCCCTGGAAGTGGGGTTCAAGGAAGCCTGTGCTGTGCACGGTCTTGGCCCGGGGGTGCTGCCAGCCAATGTCTTGGGAACGGGACAGGCTCCCAGAGGTGTTGGCGCTGGGGACCCATGGTGGCGGGCTTGGACCCCGCCTCAGCCCACAGAGGAGCCAGCCAGCACCCGAGAGCCCCTCTTTTAAAGACTGCCACTCAGAAACACTTTCAAATGTAGCAAAAGCTGTGTAAGTTTGAGGAGCACAGAAGTACACCCGTTGGCACCTACAAACCCCTGGCATGTGCATCCTTCCTGACTGCCCCCCACCAAACGTGCATGTGCACGATTTTTTCTGAAGCCCTTGAGAGTAGGTTGCCTGTGTCAGGCCCATTGCACCTAAGGGTCTCATTGTGTCCCTAAAGTAGGGTACACCCTCACCTAACCCCAGGGCACTGTCGAAGCTGCCGACATACCCCTTTGACCTAAGGCACCGCTCACTCCCCCGCCCTGTCACCTGGCCAGGGAGGCCCTTGGGCCTTATCCTCTTCCAGGACAGGACCTGGCCCAGGACCAGACCCAGCCTTGGCTTCATGCCTGCAGACTCCTTCATCTGGAACTTAGCTTTTTCTTAATCTTTTATGACATTAGCAGTATTAAACACAATCCCTCTTCATTTTGAACACAGTGTTCCCCATCTGTGATTGGCTGGTGTTCCCCGTGATGAGATGCAGGGTGATGTGTCCCCAGCTGAACCAGGCCCGGGTGATGTGGTGTCCTCCTCCAGCACCATGCCTGAGCCTCTGTGCAGCCTCACTGCACATTTACTTGTTCTCTTTAGTAAGTGATCTGTGAAGAGATGCTTTCAGACCCTACTGGTGCCCTGGCCCTCATCAGACTGACGTCTGAATCAGTGTTTGCCAGGTGGAACAGCAGAGAACCGAGGGTCACCAGAAATAGGAAGAAAACCTCTCTCTTGGTAGTTTATTTTACTTTACTTTTTTTTTATTAAGGTATCATTGATAATACAATCTTATGAAGGTTTCATATGAGCAACATTGTGGTTATTACATTCACCCATATTATCAAGTCCCCCCAACACCCCATTGCAGTCACTGTCCATTGCGCTGGGGACCCATGGTGGCGGGCTTGGACCCCGCCTCAGCCCACAGAGGAGCCAGCCAGCACCCGAGAGCCCCTCTTTTAAAGACTGCCACTCAGAAACACTTTCAAATGTAGCAAAAGCTGTGTAAGTTTGAGGAGCACAGAAGTACACCCGTTGGCACCTACAAACCCCTGGCATGTGCGTCCTTCCTGACTGCCCCCCACCAAACGTGCATGTGCACGATTTTTTCTGAAGCCCTTGAGAGTAGGTTGCCTGTGTCAGGCCCATTGCACCTAAGGGTCTCATTGTGTCCCTAAAGTAGGGTACACCCTCACCTAACCCCAGGGCACTGTCGAAGCTGCCGACATACCCCTTTGACCTAAGGCACCGCTCACTCCCCCGCCCTGTCACCTGGCCAGGGAGGCCCTTGGGCCTTATCCTCTTCCAGGACAGGACCTGGCCCAGGACCAGACCCAGCCTTGGCTTCATGCCTGCAGACTCCTTCATCTGGAACTTAGCTTTTTCTTAATCTTTTATGACATTAGCAGTATTAAACACAATCCCTCTTCATTTTGAACACAGTGTTCCCCATCTGTGATTGGCTGGTGTTCCCCGTGATGAGATGCAGGGTGATGTGTCCCCAGCTGAACCAGGCCCGGGTGATGTGGTGTCCTCCTCCAGCACCATGCCTGAGCCTCTGTGCAGCCTCACTGCACATTTACTTGTTCTCTTTAGTAAGTGATCTGTGAAGAGATGCTTTCAGACCCTACTGGTGCCCTGGCCCTCATCAGACTGACGTCTGAATCAGTGTTTGCCAGGTGGAACAGCAGAGAACCGAGGGTCACCAGAAATAGGAAGAAAGCCTCTCTCTTGGTAGTTTATTTTACTTTACTTTTTTTTTATTAAGGTATCATTGATAATACAATCTTATGAAGGTTTCATATGAGCAACATTGTGGTTATTACATTCACCCATATTATCAAGTCCCCCCAACACCCCATTGCAGTCACTGTCCATCGGTGCAGTAAGATGCCACAGAGTCACTGCTTGTCTTCTCTGTGCTACACTGTCTTCCCCATGCCCCCTACACACACCATGTGTGCTAATCATAATGCCCCTCAATCCCCTTCTCCCTCCCTCCCCAGCTGCCCTCTCCTACCCCTCCCCTTCGATAACTGCTAGTCCCTTCTTGGAGTCTGTGTCTGCAGCAGTTCTGTTCCTTCAGTTTTTTCTTTGTTCTTATACTCCACAAATGAGTGAAACCATTTGGTACTTGTCTTTCTCTGCCCGGCTTATTTCACTGAGCATAATACCCTCCAGCTCCATCCGTGTGGTTGCAAATGGTAGGATTTGTTTCTTTCTTATGGCTGAATAGTATTCCATTGTGTATATGTACCATATTATCTTTATCCATTCATCTACTGATGGACACTTAGGTTGCTTCCATATCTCGGCTATTGTAAATAGTGCTGCAATAAACATAGGGGTGCATCTGTCTTTTTGAATCTGAGAACTTGTTTTCTTTGGGAAAATTCCTAGGAGTGGAATTCCCGGGTCAAATGGTATTTCTATTTTTAGTTTTTTGAGGGACCTCCATATTGCTTTCCACAATGGTTGAACTCCCTTGGTAATTTAATACCAAATTAATATTCAGAAGAAACAACCAGCACCAAGGTTGAAAGAAAAGGAAAAACAACAGCCTGCAGAACCCTCAGAGGACACTAGTCCTCTGTCAAGCAGCGTGCTCGCACTGCCCCCTCATGAGCGGGGACAGTCCGTCTTTTCACTCAGCCTGGTTTACTGAGTAGTAAGATACTGCTGGCGAGTCACAGGGGTGCTCAGAGAAGGGCGCCCACATTATGCAGCACTGGGCGACCGTACGGACTCCGGGAGCTCTCTGCATCCTCCATGAAACATCTTCAAGGCGTGTTGCGATACAGGGAGGGGATGCAGAACTGTGTGTAGCTTGCTATTGCTGCGGAGCAAACAGGGGAAAGTGCACACACACTGTTCACTCCACGCAGACAAGCCATGCTGGGAAGGCCACCGTGGCCAGCAGGCCAGCGAAGGAGTGACAGCAGGCTTTTCCCTGCAGACATGTTCTGGGAGCCTGTGGGATTGGAGCTGTGCCAGTGTGGGCCTGTATTGCATTTTCTAAAGAACCTCACAGAAATGAGAACCTTGCATCTCTGAAAGGAGAGCAGGACGGATTCCTGGGAACCGCAGAAGACAAGAATGTTTGCAGACATAGTAGCAGAAGAGACTGTATTTGAAAGGCTGAGTTGAAGAAATCTCCACAAAGTGGAATAAAAGAGAAAGGACAGAAGATGGGAGAGAAAAGTAAATTCAAAGAGCAGTCCTGGAGGTCTGCTCTCCAGGCGTCCTAGAGGACCCAAAAACAGCAGAAGAAAATTGTTAGAGGAATTACATGAGGAAAACCTTCCAGGACTCCAGGCTGAATCTCCATATTGAAGACACCTCATGTTCTAGTCAAGGAAGGAGTGCAGGCTGGCATGAAAGGTCAGGTGGTGGTGGAGAGGGGAGGAAGCGACGGAAACGGAGTTGCCATGCCAGCTGCAGCACTGGGAGCAGATGTGGGCCCAAACGAGGGAGAAAATCATCCCAGCCGTGAATGCTAAGCCCTGTCCCATGTGACTTCTGTACAGAAAGAAGCTATAGTTTTCAGACGTTCAGTTTTCAAAACTGTCTGCACCCCTGTCCCTAAAGTCCCTTAGAGGGGTGCATAAAGGTGGGGAGCAGGCGCAAGGAGCCCTCCAGCTGCAGGGCGGGCTGCCGCCCGGAAAACTAAGCCCATCAACCAGGTCGTGGGGCTGTGCGCAGCAGTGTCTTGAAGCTCTGTGGGTTACTCTGGGTTCAGTTAGCGATAGGTACATAGAAAATTAAGCAAATGAAAGAGGCAGTTAGTAACTCAAGGAAAATTAAAATTAAAGGAACAAAATATAATTCACCATAGCTCAGTGTGTGAGCAATACTTACGTGACCAGTGATAGAAACGCCCAATTTAGAATTTAGCGCAAATTGAGGGAGGGCGGGGAGGGGCGAGTTGAAGCCCATCGGGGCGGTGACCCAGGTGGTGAGATCTCACTGTCACTGTGAGTCGGGTAGCAACGGAGCCAGACACAGGGCAGGGCCAGCCTGGCACCGCCTGGTTTTGTTTTCAGTCTCGTTTGACACTTGGAGTCAGGCCCTAGGTTGTGTGATAGAAATGATGGTGAGCATACAGGTGTGTGTAGGGGTTGCGTCTCAGAGCCCCTCCAGGCAAGGTGAGGGGCAGGAGGAGAGGCTTCGAGCGTCCTGGCTTCTGTTCACTCTTCACCTGTGACGGTGGCTAAAACCGTGGGACATAGTAACTTTTTATTTTGACCAGAAGAGGAAACAGAAAGGCAGGCAGGCGGCTGCAGCACCTGTGCATCCGCACTGCTGTCCGTGCCTTTCCCGGGATGACGCCTTTCTCTGTCTCCCGCGGTGTCTGCTCTCCGAAGCCTCTGCCCTGGGCCCAGATGGGTCTGGAGTTGAGAGCTGGGATCGTGGGGGTTCCTTCCTTTCCTCTTGCTGATGTTTTCTGTTTTCTGTGTGTGTTTGCCTCTCTTTGAAAACAGTGGCAAATCCTCCAGTGTTTTTTTGTTTTGAGTAGAAATTAGAGTGATTTTGTGTTGGGCAATATTTGGGGAGCCTAGGATGCTTCAGTTCCCATTTAGACTCTAACATTTTGATCTTGGCTTTGAGGACATCTCTTAACTTGGACGTCTCTTAAATTAATTCACACACATAAAACGCGCCGTTTTCAAGTTCACATTCAGTTCTTTTTAGTGTATTTGCGGAATTGCGCAGGTATCGCCAGTATCTACTTCCAGAACATGTGAGTCGCCCGCCCCCGTTAGCAGTGCTCCCTCCCTGTCCCATCTCAGGAGCCTGGGGGTGGGACGGCTGCACCTCGGGCCTGCTTGGGGCTCCTGGTCTCTTCAGTGTCTCTTGAGAGGAGAACGTCCCTCACCTCGCTGCTGTCCATCTCGAGTTTGCACAAAAGAATAAGAGGTCACGATGGTCAAGAGTAGAAGAGAAAAGCCAGGAAAGTGTTTAAGTACATTTTAGACAATAGCCCTTTTGAGCTTCCAGGAGAACTACAAACACTTCCTCACCCCAACCCGTCTTCAGTGGTCACTCTGCTCGCCCTGATCCCATTTATCACAACAAAGCCAATCTGAGGTCCAGTGACCCCGTGCCCAGCCGTAGCTGGGTCTCCAGTCTTTTCGATCTAGAACATTCTTCTTCCCTTGACTGCTCATGACCTTGATGTTTTAGCAGGTTATGAGCTGGTCATTGTGTCAAATGGCCGTAAGATGGGCTGGTCCGACACTGGCTCGTGATCAGGCCCAGGCTAGGCTTCTTGGGAGGGTGAGTCCCAGGGGCAAGCGGTGGCTTTTCTGGTCCACCTCCATGCTCCTGGACAGGTTTTCTCCCCGTTCCTCTAGTTCCTTCTTGTCACTGGATTCACGGGTTGTGTTATTGTTATAACTCAAAATATTGAAAGCAGGGTTTTAATCAGTTGTACTAGTTATTTATTTCATCTATAAATTGACCCGTGTCTGGCTGCTGGGAGGCCCTTCAGCCTGGCTCCTGTGCCCCTCGGACACATCCCATCACCTTTTGAGGGCTTGTTTGCTTCTCACACAAGATCCTCCCGGTTCGTTTTGTACTGTGCCCGCTTCACCCTGCAAGACCCTGGAGAGCCCTGGTCTTCCCAGAGGAAAGGAGCATTTGGAGACCCAAATCCACGTGCTCAGGGTGCCCACTGCTTTGGGAGCGTTGCAGACTTGCCTTCGGCTGCATTTCCAGGCCAGACCTCCTCGCCTAACTCGTTTCCACCACTGAGGAGCCACCCTTGCGCCCGACCCTGCCCGGCCCCACCATTGCCCCGTCCCGACCACGCTTCCTGCAGGGGTGGGCTGCAGAAACTGTTCGGTAGTAACATTGATAAAAAATATATTTTTTAGTAAAGCCTTGCTTGCAGTAGTTCCTTCTAAAACAGACACACGTTTGGTACTGACATTTACTTAACTGTTTTCTTTTGAATAATAATTCAGCTTCATCCCAGTGTAATTATAAAATGTCAAGTGGACTACTTTGCTGTCTGTCAGGATATAATTTAAACATTCTCCATTTCCTGAGAAATTTGTGTGTGTGTGTCTAGATTACAAATGTGTTACAAAGTGTCTGTCTCATGATTTTCAGAACACCACCAAAATTAACACTTTCAACTGGTCCAGGGTCCGTAAACTCAGCTTCAAGAGGAAAAGGTTTCTTGTCAAACTCCACCCAGAGGTCCATGTACGTATTATTTTGAGCACTTTTTAAATTGTGAGAGAATTTATTTTGCTAGAATACTGAGTTTTTAAACTACTTCATAAATCATTTCAGCATAATGCACACAAGCATTTAAGGGCAAGATTTGAAGTTGGAGTCTGGAAGTGCTTGTTGGGTGACCTGCCCAGCAGTTCTCTCCTGGTGAACCTGTCAGCACCCCGTATATCACTGGCTCCACCCTGGGGTTCAGACCCAGCAGGTCTGGGGTAGGTGTGGGAATGTACATGCCCGGCGAGACCCCAGTGGCTGCCGAGACAGTGTGGGGCTGTGGCACGAAGCCCTGCGGCAGATCAGCGTTAGAGCTTCTGTGCAGAATGAGATGGGCGTCCCCGAGAGGCTCACGCATTTTGATTCAGAAATTGACCTTTTAAAAGCGCTAACTGAAGAAGCTTTGATTTCCAGAAAATCAATAAATATTCCTTTTGAGATTGTCAGTCAATAAAGGAATAATTACATAGGAATCTACTAAAATGAATAAAAATGGAAAAAAGTGAATGTACAGTCTGATAGGAAAAAACAAAGACTTCAGAGTGTCCGCAGATGTTCAGATCGTTGCTTCGCCAGCGTACAGAGGAAGTTAGGAAATAGAAAAGGTAGATTAGCCGAGCCACCACGGGGTCGACGCTTAGTGTCCAGCCAGCCTAGACACCCTCAGCACCGGGAGGTTTAGGGCCCTGCACCCATCTCGGAAGCTTCACTGAAGCTTTTAAAAGGCATTTGATGAGCCAGGGCTTTTGTTAAACGCCAGGCTCACGTGCCCCATGTAAGTGTGTTTACCTTAGGTAGAAAGTGTGAAAGAATGGCTGGATTTCTTGTTAAATAATAGGAATAACAAAAACATAAACAAACTGCAGTCAGGAGGCTGCTTCCTTTTCTCTAAGTAAAAAAAGATTGTAGCAGTTTTTGTGAAAAGATGGGGCAAGAAAGGAATCGCTGCTCCAGGCGCCGCAGCAGCAGCACGTCGGACTGGCCTGGGCACTCAAGGCCCAGCTCTGCCTCCACCTGCCCCTGGCATCCCTCAGCACTGAGGTTTTTAGGACTGAATGTAGAAGTCACAGTGTGATGGTCCTGGAAGGCAATGTATGTGACAAGATTGAAATGTGCATTGTTTGAGCTCAGTATGAATTCCTAGGAATTTATCCTAAGGAATAATCATGAGAGAGAATGAGGTCGTTTGCTCATGGTGATGTTTGTGAACCGAAAAACTGGGCATCCTGGACGTCCAAGCAGCCCCGAGGCCCCTCGGAAACAGTTCTGCCCCAGCAGACGGACGGGCCCGCCAGCCTGGGAGAGGCCTGGGGTGCTAGTCGGGGAAGGCTTCAGGACATGGGCCTTAACCTGTCACTTCCACCTGGATATATGAACTGTGCTTTTCCTCACTTAAATAAAACTAGAACCAGAAGTCTTTCTATATGTTTCAGAAAAAGTATCTTCCTAATTTTTAACTTTGGAATTAACAGCCTATCGTTTGACCTGCTTCCTAAATTTTATTTATTTATTTATTTTTATTTTTTGGTATCATTAATCTACAATTACATGAGGAACATTATGTTTACTAGGTTCTCACCTTCACCAGGTCCCCCCCACAACCCCCTTTACAGCCGCTGTCCATCAGCGTAGTGAGATGCTGTGGAATCACTACTTGTCTTCTCTGTGCTGCACAGCCC